GAGCTAAGTCTGGAAAGGTTTATCACCAGGGGAACAAAGGATGATGTACTTTTGGGCTGAATATTTTTTGGTCATTTCTTGAACAACGTCTGCACTAGGTGGAGAAGGGCTCAATTTTCACCTCTCAAGAGAAGGAATATCCACAGTAGCAAAATTTTAGCTCCTTAATGCACTAATATAAGTGTATATGTATATATGTGTGTGTGTATATATACATATATGAATACACACACACACACACACATTTATCTACTTGATACTTTCTCTTAGCAAAATCAACAACTATATGTATAAGGACATTGGAAAAACTGCTCGAAATTCAGCAACAGGTTCCCTTTCCTATTCCTTCCATCTTCTGGCTTTCACTGAGACTTGGTTCCCATCCTGACGATACGCCTCATCTGACTGCTCTTTCCAGCACTTTCATTCATTCCTCCCCACCCCACTTGATGGTCCAGGTAGGGGAGGTTGGAATACTCCTTGCACAAAACTGCCACTTCCAGGCTCTCCTTCTCCCTCTATCATTCCCTCCTCCTTTGAGGCTCATTCAATCCCTATCTAGCAACCAATCAATATTCTGGTAGTTGTTGTTTAATGACTTTCAGGATACTTCCTTTTTGTCTCCCATGATTTCAGTGCCAGTTGCGCAGTCTTTCTCTTCTCCCTAACCCCTGATCTGATACTTAGACTTCAGCATAGATACTGAAACTTCCTCAAGCACCCTAAACTCAGCTTCACACAGAGACTCTGGTCATACCCTTAAACTTGCTAATGCACCACTTCCACATTCATAAACTGTAAATTTCTTTATCTGATTACTATAGGTTGTCATTCTACATCTTCCTTTGCTTGAAACCCCAAATCTGGTTCTTCAACCTCACTGCGATCTCAGTTCCTTCATAGGACACAGATCCTGCACTGGCTACACTCTTTTCCTTTGCCCATCTTGACCTCTTGGTAAACCAATTCATACTGTCCCTTTGTCTTGCGTCCCTTGCCCCCTTATCTTATTGTTGATCTTGCCCTCATCCTTTGATGACTCCCATTATCTGATGCTAATGTTCCCACCTGCATTCCACTAAACAAAACTGGAGAAAATCATGAAACCATGCTGAACAGGTCTAATACATAATTTCAACTGGGCCCTTGTTGCAGCAAGGCAATTCTTTTTTACCTCCCCAATTAATTTAATACTTCATTCACCACATCTCTCTCTGTCTCTTTTTTTTGGCTAGGCAATGGGGTTAAGTGACTTGCCCAGGGTCACACAGCTAGAAAGTGTTGAGTGTCTGAGGCTGGATTTGAACTTAGGTCCTCCTGACTTAGGGCCAGTGCTCTATCCACTGCACCACATAGCTGCCCCTTGCAGCAGCTTTTGAAAACCTTTTTATTCCTCCTGAAAATTCTCATGGCTCCTTGGCCCCCGCCCCCATTCTTTCAGCTGAGAACCTTGCCTCATATTTCACTGAAAAAACAAGTCATTTGACAAGAGCTCCCATTTCTGCATTGCAAATCACCTAAATGGCTTCTGCCATAATTTTTTCCTTCACTTCTCTCTCACAAGGAGCCCTTTTTGCTAAGACAATCTCCTCTACATACGCAAATGATCCCATTTCATCCTATTTTCTCCAGCAGACTGCCCCCTCTATCATCTCCAGTCCCTCATTTACCTTCAATCTCTTTGTCTACTGTGTGCTTCTCTACTACAAACATGCCCATATTTCCCTCATTCTTAAAAAAGCCTCACTTGATCTGCCCATCCCCACTACTGTTCCATATTTTCCCTTCATTTTGTAGCTAAATTCCTTGAAAAGGCTGTGTATAATCAATGCCTCCACATTCTTACTTCTTACTCTCTTAACTCTCTATAGCCTAGCTTTCATTCAATGGAAACCACTCTCCAGATTTATTACTGATCTCCTAATTGCCAAATCGAACAGCCTTTTCTCAATCCTCATCCTTCCTGACTTCTCTGCAGCCTTGAATGAAGTCAATCACCCTCTTCTCTTCAGGCTGCTGTGATACTACTCTATCCTGGTTTTCCTGCTATTGTCTAACTACTGGGGCTTTCCTGGATCTTTATCCCAAGTTTTGTCTTTTAACAGTGGGATATCCTGGGGGCTCTGTCCTGAATGCTCTTATCTTCTCTGTTATTTCACTAGGTAATCTCATCAGTTACTATGCTAATGGCTCTCAGATCTATCTATACAAGAGGTGCAAGAGTACAAGAACTCTCTGGAAGGATTATTACTTGAGGGTCTAACCTACTCAGAACTTCCCCTCTATTATTCCCACTACTGTACACCCCTGTGCTAGTCAACTGTTGGGAATATTGTATCTACAGATACTCTGTATTTATTAATATGCCTCTTAAGAGGCATAT